ATTCCTGCAGTCACAAAAGCTTCGAATCAAGCACGATGAGAAGTGTCTGTCGTCAAAGTAAAAAGTCACATCGGTGATAAATCGCGCGTAGTGAATTGAAAGAGACATCGATGAGGCGTCAACCATTAATGTTGTACAACAACAACAGCAGCAGCAGCTGCTGTGCGTCAACGAGCTGCACCACCGGCACGCCGTTCGCCACAACGCGCTACAGACGCAGTCCATGGCGACACGGAGCCAAGGCGAAATCGTCGCTGCACTCCGCCAACATAGAAAGCGGTGGATAAAGCAAAGCACTTTCTGTCAATCACCCGAATGTCAACAAGACGCAGGGAACTACTAACTTTTATATTTATATATACTGTGGATGTGCATAATGCAGGTTGTTTGGGTTAGATGGTTAACCCCCAATTAAACTGTATAATGGATATTTGTCGCGAAGGCTTTACGTGTTAAACTACTGTGGATGTGTTATTCTGATGTACATCAGTTCAAAAATGCCAAATTAACATCTGTGACAATAACAAATCGCGTTACCGGTATCTGCATTGATCCACATTGCTCACCGTAGCTGTTGGGCTGTTCGGAATGTACCACTCACTCAGCGGGGGGCGGGGGATAGCAACAATATCGCATTAACTTTTACTTTTAAACATAAAAAACAAGACACAGATTTATAAAATCACTACAACTGTTATTGTACAATTATTTACAAATTACAACCTGAATCGACGGAATATGCTAAAGTTGTATTAGTAACATTGTGAAATAATGGAATAGAATCACCCCTGTGGTTGGTGATGGTTTCTCTCTCCGTGGGTTATGGCAAGACAAATTATTTTATTCAAGTTTGTTTTAAACATGTTATTGTATTTAAACTTTTAAATATAGAAACACTTTCTTTCGTGTAAACATCCCCGATTGTAAATGTTGTTTTGGCCAATCAACAGGGGGGAAATAATGAGCGCTAGCGTGACACACGCTGGTGCTTGTTAAAGCCAACAGCGTGAATCTACAGGTACATCTAGACAGGTTTGTATGTTTGTGTGATGCGGGGCTTGTTTTTACATTCCTTAAACATCTGAGCACATTCCATGACGGTACCTCGTGAGGTTTGTAACCCCGTGTAAAGTAATGTTACATCCTTGTTTCTCGTCTGCGAGCACTGATACAAATACTCACCACTCACCATCCACACACACTACTCACCACTCAACATCTACACACCACTCACCATCCACACACCACTCACTATCCACACACACTACTCACCATCTCATAAGCACACACACTACTCACCACTCAACATCCACACACTACTCACCATACACACACACTACTCACCATCCACAAACACTACTCACCAGCCGCCATTAACCAGGGGGAACATCTCCCCCAAGAATAAACCCGTTTCGCAGATATTCTGATGGAGAGAATGAGACCAAGAAAGAACTGCAAAGCGTAAACACAGATCCTCGCAGAAGGAAGAGGCAATGACACAAACGTGAAAAAGGCAGCTCCAACCAACTCGCCCTCGCATTAAATTGACTCGCTTCTCCCTCCATTCATGACCTTCTTCAGCCACGAATATTGCATCAAGATCGCCAAGATCCTCAGCTTGTGCATTCCTCACTGTCCCACGGTCTCTAGGCTCCACACGTGGAGGTGACGGTGCCTTGGCAATCGCGGCACCTAAACTCTGCAACTCGTTGCCCTTCGAGGTCAAGGGGACTTCCGAGTCACTGCTCATCTTCACATCTCCACTAAAGCCGTCATTGTTTAAAATAGCTTTCTCTCTTTAGTGATGTTCAAATGTTCTTCTCACTTCTTTCCTTGGGTGATTTTCACTATTTTCTGCTTTACCATGCATAGCACCCCGAGAGCGATTGTTTAATGTCGCTTTGAACATGTTAATTATATTACCATTACTGAATGATTATGTAATCAGTAGAAATATATTATTTAATTATAAAAATACAATTATTGCATTAGCATCATAGTATTATAGCACGAGCATTTAATTATTATTATTTAATTATTATTTAGGTGTCAGTATGAAACAGTTATATAATTATAATAAAGTTATTAATACGTAAAAAATCGCTCGATCATTGTTTTATTATTATGATCCATTTCCAATTACATATTAATTATATTTATATAATACCATTATAATACAATTATACTACTTAAATGATCATTACTTGACCGTCACGGCAGTTGGTTCAGGGCACAGGGTCGGCAACCTGCGGCTCCAGAGCGGCGTGTGGCCCTTTGAGGGACCGCTGCTTCGTGAGACATTTTATTTATCAAGGACCACCACCAGCAGCACCGTCTCTCGTGTTCACACCACGTTCTTATTTATCAAGGACCACCACCAGCACCACCGTCTCTCGTACTCACATCACGTTGCATTGCGGCTCTTGAAAAAATGAGTTGTTTGGTTCCTATTTTACTTACGGGTTTGTAAAAAAACAAAACAAAAATATCTCTCCTTGTTATTTTGGTTTCCGAATCTCCTGGTTTAGGGGACTCGTTTTTTTACCTTGAATACGAACTTACAGCTGGGCAAAACGCACGGCCTCACCCTAGCGGGAATGTTTTGTTTACGTGACAAACCTTTCTCATTGATTGTGTCGGGTGGTGGCGGGTTTAACGACACCTTTATATTTACGCGAACTAACGCAAAAACACGTTTTATGGATAATATTGGTCGCCAAAGCCTACTTAGAATTTGAAATCTTTAATAAGAATTTACACGGTGTTGTTGATGGTAGAAAAACACAGCCTCACCCTATCTGGTGTACAGTCTGTAGGACAAGCCATCACCTTTTTCATGGTTACCGTGGGGTTATTGTAAAAATATATCAATTGCGACTCTTTAACCTTGACACTGTGTGTGTGAATGTAACGCCACGTCTACACAGGTGAGTGCGGGCTGCCGCGTGCAACATTCCAGGGCGCGTCTCGTGGTGTTTATAATTTAGCTGCAGGTGAAGTCAGTTCGTTTCCTTGTTCGTTGTCGCTGCTCTGTGATATTTTTACATCGCGCTGCCGTGGCTGGAAGATGTTAACTACCTCGCCTGGTATACAGGAGGTGGTGGGGTCGATCCCACAACTGACGCCTGTACGTGTACTTGGAGTTTGCATTCTCGCTGCCTGTGGTCGCGAGCATTTTTCTCCGGATCCTCCGATGATTCCCTTCACACTTATAAAAGTGCGTTTAGAGTGTTTGGCTGCTAGAAATGTCCACGTAATAAGCCACTTCTGTGAGCTATAAATTGTGGCCAGGTCGCTTCTGAAAAGAGCTATATACCTCAGTGGGCTTTACCTGGTAAAAGAAAAATAGTTTTTTTTATAGAATCGGCCAAATTCAGCGAGTCCAGGATGTAACATCTTAACATTAACAATAGGTGATGAATATATATTTTTTAGGTTATTAAGATTTAAATCCTCGATTTTTTACGCATAATAGGAAAATTGACGGTGAAAGTCACGTAGATAATGAGTTTAAATGAACCACGATGTTTGTTTAGCCAGGGGCTGTTCGCTGTGGTAATGCGTGAGGCCACTCACCTAGGGACCCAACCACTAAACCACAAGCCCTCCCAGCCACTCTTCCTCCAGCCCTCTCTCATCACCTGCTCGCCCACGCTTCACGCCATCCTCCTGCCCATCTGTCTCCCCTTTCACCAAACAACCCCCCTACTTACTCACTCAACCACCACCCACTCACTCGCACCTTCGATTAGCACGAATGGCTACGTAAGTTGCGAAATAAGTTCAACATACATACCTACCCACTCACCCACACACCCATTCACCTAACCACTCATCCACAAACTAAACCACACACCTTCGATTAGCACGGTTGACTACATACGGTGACAAAGAATTTCAGCATACATACAACCACCATCCACTCAGAATAAAACTGTGTCGTAAGAATAAAAAAAAATATTTTGACAGATGAACAGAGGATGCATGAAGCCAGTAATAATATTAGTTGATAAAGGTTTAATACGATTACAGACTGTGAAGCTTAAACAAACAGGCCTTGGGAGAAAAAAATGGATAAAGACACAGTTGGGAAAAAAACAAGTTCACCTTTACATCAGAATGTCGGTACAAGGTGCGGCTCCACGGCGGTCAAACCACTACTTTACAATGCTCAGAACTGGACTTTTGACAAATGAATCTCATAACCAAACTCTGTATGCGTTTGTGTTCATGCCTGGCATTGATTATGGTGCTTAAACCATCAACTCGTTTCACCGGAGAACCGCGTTTAATCACAGGCGACTGCTTGGAATCGAAAGCCCGCATCTCAGGATGTGTTATTTTTACGATTGTGATCATGTTCTTACAAAGTCCATTGTTGGCACTGGTTAAAGCCAACGGCGCGAGTCTACAGGTACATCTAGACAGGTATGTGTGATGCGGGGCTTGTTTTTACATTCCTAAAACATCTGAGCACATTCCATGGGGGTGCCTCGTGAGGTTTGTAACCCGTGTAACGTAATTAAAAATCCTTGTTTCTTGTCTGTGAGCCTTGATTAAAAATATTCGCCACTCATCATCTACACACTACTCACCATCCACACACACTACTAACCAGCTGCTATCCACAAGGGAGAACATCTCCCCCAGGAATAAACCCGTTTCACAGATTTCAGAAGGAGAGAATGAGACCTGTGGGACTAACCATTATTGATGTGTCCCTGGCTGCTGCTGCTGGGTTTTGTTTGTACAAAAATTATATCACTTGAGATCAGTCAAAGCTATGTATGTTTAAATTCTTCCACACCATACGGAGCCAACCGTGATAATCGGAAGTGCAGGGGAAGGACAACAAACTAAACACAAAAAGCAGGTTTAGCTATTACACAGTGCGTGACTTTAACGCCACATCTACACAGGTGAGCCCAGCCGCCGCGTGGAACATTCCAGGGCTTGTCTCGAGGTAATCATAACTTCACTGCAGGTGAAGTCAGTTCATTTCCTTGCTCGTCTCTACTGTGTGAGCTGCTCACACAGCGTCTCCTGAACAGTACACACCTCGTCAATGGTAATCAACATCTCACGATATTATAAATATGAAATATTTTTGTTGAAATATATTCTCTGAGCCACAGTGAGAAACTATTTTGGGTGCATCCTTGGGTCATGGCAAGCGCAGCTCCTGCTGAGAACATGGACCGTGAATTGACCTGCTCCATCTGCCTGGACACGTTTGACTGCCCCTCCACACTCAGCTGCGGCCACTCGTTCTGCCTCCAGTGCCTGGAGGACGCCTGGAAGAAGACAGACTCCTACTGCTGCCCGCAGTGCCGCAAGACCTTCCCTCGACGACCCCAGCTGACCAGGAACGTGACACTCGCCAACCTCATAGAGCAGCTGCGAGTGACTGAGACCATGGCTGCTGCTGCTGGTGGTGTTGTTTTCTGTGACCACTGCCCAGAAGGCAAGACGCTTGCAGTGAAGACCTGCCTCAAGTGTGATACATCCTTCTGCACAGAGCACCTAACGCCTCACCTGGAGAAGATGAAGTTTAATGATCACGTCCTGGTTTCACCAGATGTGAACCCTGAAGCACGCAAGTGCAAGAGGCACAAACAGGAGCTCATATTCTACTGCAAGCAAGACGTGAGCCTCGTGTGCACAGTCTGTACAATCGCTGGAGAACACAGAGGGCATGATGTTGACACGCTGGAGGACGAGCATCAGACACGGAAGGTGAGGCCCACATGCCGACAGTGAGAACCACTGAGGTGCAGAGAAAACACATGCATTGAGATTATTTGGCTGCCATACATTTCCACATGATAAGCCAATTTGTTGAGTTATAATTTGTGACCAGGTCGCTTCTGAAACATAAATTAATACCTCGGTGGGATTTGCCTGGTAGGATGGGGATCGCTTAGTTGTATGTGTATGTTATTGGGTGATTTGTTTACCTTTCTTGTACTTTGCACTACTATCTGGTTTTTGCATAGTTTGTTCTTGTAACGTTCTTACCCACCCCTACTGGACATCTGTGAAAAAGAGCTTTATAGCTCATCTGATTCTTCCAATATAAATACATAAACTGATTCTGATACCACTACATTAATTGATAAAAACTGTCACCTGGGATTAATAAAAATAATCTCAGACAACGAACATCACCGTGTGTTGAGTCTCTCTCCACGGTCTCTTGCGGTTTAGCCTTTTTCAGTCAGTTCAGGCGGACTTCCTCAACACTCTTCTGGTGGCAATTATAGAGCCATCACTGTGGAGGGCTCCGTGTGGAGTGGGGCTGAGAGGGGACGCCAAGGGAGTGGAGTTTCATCCGGTGACTTCGTCTCTTACAGAGTGGAGTTGGAGAGGAGATGCGAGCGGTGGAGAAGAAGAGGCTGGAGGCAAAGAAGTGCGTGGAATGGATGGAGGCCGCTCGCAAGGACGTGCAGGTAACGTGTGTGGACTCTGTGACCTCTACCCTGCGTGGAGTTTCCCTGTGAGTGTTTGTGGAGTTGACCTCACTGTGAGGCCCACTCCGTAGACTCCAGTGAACTGTTAGTCTTGAGTCAGTGTGTAATAACTGCAGGAAATTGGATTATTATGGAAATGTTTGCTTAAATTGTAAACAAATGCAACGTTTATAGAAAAAAAACGTTCGTACCTCGTGATAAAAAAATGATGATGAAATGATGATAAAAAAATGTACACATTCTTTCAGCCACACTAAGTGGGCGTGCATCTTTACGAAAGTATTGATTCTGCAGTCTTCTGGGAGTGCATCATTTTGTCAGCATTGATTCAGTAGAGGCAACAATAGACTGGTTTATGTATCATTAATTTGCGTTCAACTTGGATCCATATCATAGAGAGAGGGTCCTTATCTATAAAATCTGGCAGCTCACCTGCATTGATTCAAGCAAGCCTGACTCTGCATGTCAAAACCGCTCAAGAGTTTTCTTGTACTGAATGAATACAGGCAGACCTAACTTAGCACGATGCCGTAGAACACTCATTCATTATAGCGCTCATGGGCCTGGAGAACATTTTTTTCAAAAATAGAAAATCAAAACATATCTATCTATATATAAATGGCTAAGGATGACTGCAAAATCTCAGCTGGCTTCCAAAGACCGGTTTCTGGATCGTCTGCTTTGACTCCTAAGATGGTGTTTCAGCGCTGAAGACTATGGAGGGAATATCCACGATGTATTTTGTGAATAGTGACATTTAAGCAATATTCGTGTCGCCATCTTCAGTGTCAAATTTTAACGGTTTGAATAATTTCAGATTTTATTTTCATAAAAGGTTTCATTTTACAACTGTTACATACCACATCAAAATACCAGGAAGGCAATATCCATGATGTATATGTTTGAATAGTTAAACGTAATTATTAGCTTTAATATACATACAGTGAAGGAAAAAAGTATTTGATACCCTGCTGATTTTGTACGTTTGCCCACTGACAAAGAAATGATCAGTCTATAATTTTAATGGTAGGTTTATTTGAACAGTGAGAGACAGAATAACAAAAAAAATCCAGAAAAATGCATGACAAAAATGTTATAAATTGATTTGCATTTTAATGAGGGAAATAAGTATTTTACCCTTGTGCAAAACATGACTTAGTACTTGGTGGCAAAACCCTTGTTGGCAATCACAGAGGTCAGAGGTTTATTGTAGTTGGCCACCAGGTTTGCACACATCTCAGGAGGGATTTTGTCCCACTTCTCTTTGCAGATCTTCTCCAAGTCATTAAGGTTTCGAGCCTGACGTTTGGCAACTCGAACCTTCAGCTCCCTCCACAGATTTTCTATGGGATTAAGGTCTGGAGACTGGCTAGGCGACTCCAGGACCTTAATGTGCTTCTTCTTGAGCCACTCCTTTGTTGCCTTGGCCGTGTGTTTTGGGTCATTGTCATGCTGGAATACCCATCCACGACCCATTTTCAATGCCCTGGTTAAGGGAAGGACGATCTCACCCAAGATTTGACGGTACATGGCCCCGTCCATCGTCCCTTTGATGCGGTGAAGTTGTCCTGTCCCCTTAGCAGAAAAACACCCCCAAAGCATAATGTTTCCACCTCCATGTTTGACGGTGGGGATGGTGTTCTTGGGGTCATAGGCAGCATTCCTCCTCCTCAAACACGGCGAGTTGAGTTGATGACAAAAAGCTCCATTTTAGCGCTTATTCGATAAGCACTCACTTCTTCAGAAAGCATACTGAGCGTTTAGCGAGGTCTGCCAGTACTGATACAATAATTCAGTCCCAAAAGGCCATGGGGCAAATAGATTGTGTACAAAATACTTTTAATGATGAATATATGCAGAAGGTGAATCATGTGCTTATCTTTACTGAAAGAACCAAGAACATGTGCTTATCTGTTTTGGTAAATAATTTACAGATCCTCACCAATACACTTCTGGACGAAGGTTCCGCAACATCGTGTTGATCATTGAGGCTAGTTGGCCATACTTAGTTGCGTGGGTCAGTGCAGGTTGGTGAAAATAGAGTCAAGCACTGGTTCATATCTCAGCCCTCTAATCGTGTTGGAGGCTGGGGAGGGAGCCCGGCCTAGGCTGAGAGGCAAGGACACTCCAGTGACGTGGGGTAGTATTATGGGGGCCGTTGGCCCCCGGGGTCTCCCCCGCCTGCATCTCCGGGCTCGTTTGCGTTACCGCACCGCCCTGCCCTTCACCAAGAAAAGAGAACTCTCTCCGGGGTCCCCGCCGGCATCCCCGGGCTCATTTGTGTTACCGCACTGCCCTGCGCAGCACTCATGCTGTGAGCGTACGCACACACAGCACCGACAATCCAAACGCGAAGCCTCCCCTCGCGCAGCCCCGCGCAGCACTCACATGCTGTGAGCGCACGTACACACAGCACCGACAATCCAAACGCGATACCTCCCCTCGCACAGCCCCGCGCAGCACTCACACGCTGTGAGTGCACGTACACACAGCACCGACAGTCCAAACGCGATACCTCCCCTCGTACAGCCCCGCGCAGCACTCACACGCTATGAGTGCACGTACACACAGCACCGACAGTCCAAACGCGAAACCTCCCCTCGCACAGCCCCGCGCAGCACTCACACGCTGTGAGCGTACGTACTCATAGCACCGACAATCCAAACACGATACCTCCTCTCGCGCAGCCCCGCGCAGCACTCACACGCTGTGAGTGCACATACACACAGCACGGACAGTCCAAACGCAATACCTCCCCTCGCACAGTCCCGCACAGCACTCACACGCTGTGAGCGTACGTACTCATAGCACCGACAATCCAAACACGATACCTCCTCTCGCGCAGCCCTGCGCAGCACTCGCACGCTGTGAGCGTACGTACACACAGCACCGCGCGCGTTCACACTCTCGTTGAAACCACACGAAGCTACGATTAGTTATGAATGATTTATTGCTGGCTGACTGCGATTCGCTGTTAAGTCAGTAATGATCGACAAGGCAGGCCTACACTGTCGCCCAAGGGTCTGTACCCGATTGATCTAATTCGATAGGCTCTAAGCGGATTTGGTTTTTATATCTCTAACCCCAATACTCCTTTATCTCTTACTCCCAGTAAGATACGCATGGCGTTCCATTGGGCTCGTCCTCGCCGCTCACCTCGATGCGTCGCACGGACGTTCGAGTGGCCAAGCTGGAAGCCGTCCCGAGCGCTGACTTTTTAGAGTAAGAGAGCGCTTTACCTCTCTGCTCCCCCCTTTTATCCTTAGCCTACATCAAAGAACGCCGACACGAGAGCCCTCTCGGCCAATCAGGTCGCCGCATCCGTTCAGCCGCATTCCCGGTTTCCCTAACAATGGGTCCCCCACTGATTGCTGTGCTGGCGGTGGTCCAAGGGCGCCTTTGTTATGCCAATCAGCCGCGGTTTCCGCGACAAAGGCTCGTCGCGGGCTTGCTGCGCCGGTGGCGGTCCCCGAGCATGCCCGCTGCGCCAATCAGCCACCTCCCCCCCCGTCTTCCCTTTTGCTCATGGCGGTGGACCCCTGCCTGCCTTGCCGATACGTGTGTGGGGGAGTGCGTTTCAACCGTGGTGGTGGGACAGCCCTCGCCGTGACCAAACAATCTCAACCCGGGTCACAGCGCCGCGGTGCGAACCAGCATCGGGAGAGGTCGCCCAATTCCCTGGCCGCAGGAAACCATGAAGATTATCCCTAGGAGGGCTTTTCTGGTAAAAACCTGCGGGCCAGGAGACCTCCCCTCGGAGCTCTAGGTGGGGAAATGGGTGAGGGTGTGTTCATTTGGGGGGCGGTGAGGAGGAAGCGGGGTCGGCCCGGTCGCTTGGTGGTGGCTAGGTCGTGGATGGGGCACCCGCCGAGCGGCTTCGCGGTGGTGGCATCACAGTATCAGCAGCATGCAAAGATGTGTCGCAAAACCGAGTTTTAATATATGGTCATTTTGGAGAGAACAGGGAGGTACTTATTGAGGTTGCAACTGGGAATTTGTGGAGTTAGAAGGACCTTACATACTTGGCAGATTTGTTTTAAAGGAATATTAGGATGAAGACAGCCAAGTGGTGGTCTCTAAACATATCCAGGGGGGATAAATTGGAGGTGATACAGAGGTTGCAATAATGTGTTTATATGGAGGCATCAAGGTCAAAGTGGGCAGCCAGGTGGTATAATGGAACAAAAGAGGCGAGGCAGTCAATGATTTCACAGGAGTCAAAGATGGGGAGGATGGCAGCTTGGACTATATCAAGATGGAGCCGAGGTGAGACAATGTGTTTATTTATTTAAAGGATTTTGTTTATTCAATCTTACTGGCGATATGATCAATGTGAAGGGCAAGATAGCACCTAGATACCTAAAGTTATGGACATATTCAATGGGATGTGAGTCCAAAGACATAACGTGGAAGCAGGGGAAAATAGGCTTGGAGTAACCGGAAAACAATGTGACTTTGGTCTTAACAGCATGGAATATGATTTTATAGAATCCATCACACACCCTTGCAGGATTGCATGGTCCAGACCAAGGATCGCATCTCAGGTGAGTTCACCCGTTTGAGGGCGACGCTGGATGAGGATGAGAAGGCAGCTTTGGATCGCGTGGACGTGAAGGGGCGTGAGCTGCTGTCCCGGATCGAGGAGAACATCACTCATTACGAGCGAGAGATCAGCGAGCTCCAAGCAGCAGCCACGCGCCTGCACGCTCTGCAGGAGGAGAGGGACTCGCTCACGTTCCTGCAGGTAGAGCGCTCGCGGAGCCAGGATAGTACTCGACTTATGAACACAACTCGTTCCCAGGCCTGTTCGTAAGTCGAACAGTTCATAAGTCGGAACGCAACAATCTACTCTATTTAAATGCCCATAAAGTCTGTGTCATGAAATATGTTACAGTTCAACAAAACATTGATGCATTGTTAAACTCATACATAAGAATAAATACTGTACATTTTCACATAACATGGTAACACATTTGTATAGTAAATTAAACATAAGATGAAGTAATATAAATAGAAAAAAAATCGGTTTTATTTCGCTTACCTTAAGTCCTGATCCTGTCTGGTTTGTTGAAAGAGACGCAATGAGTCACCACAATTGAACACACACACACACACACGGGGCACGCATGCACACACGCACGCACGCAAGACAAAGATGCCCCATATAACCTTAACAGACTGTTGGAGAGCACCGTCTATGAAGGCCAGCACCGCACACGAGGGGGTGAGTGGGCATCACCCCACCTGGCCACCACTGACCCCTGTTGCAACTGCATTGGCGATGTTTACACACCAAACCAGGTAATCATTTGAGGCTGAGTCGACCTAGGGGAGGCCCAGGATCCATTCAGATAATCGTCACTGCTGTTGGTCGTGAGCGGGAATCGAACTTGGGTCGCTGGGTTGGTAACGCAGAGCGCTTACCATTGCACTACCACTCCCCACACACTAACTTGTACACGCACGCACATACACGCACGGGCACACACATGCACAAACACTCACTGCCAGCATGAGGCTGACTCATTATATCTTGCGGAGGATCGGTAAGATGAAAAAAATTGTTCCGTGATTACGTTCGCGTTTTACGTCGACGTAAAAAAATATATAATTCATGAAAGCTGGTTCGTAAGTCGGGTGTTCGTAAGTCGAGAACTGCCTGTACATTTAGAAAGGCGCCATTGCCAATACAATCTATGGCCCATGCGTTCTGAAATTAAAGGTGGAAACAAGCCCACTAACGTGGATTTGTATATTTTAGTAAAAATATAAATTACCGCTGAATTTCCAAAGAATCAATAAACGATTAACACACAAATCCATAGAGTTAATAATCGGTTGGTATTGTATGCAGACGTTGGCACGACAACATCTAACCACATGGTCTTGTAATATACAGATTTAAGCTACTTACTGCTCGATTTTGATTATTAATGTAACCAAATGCTCACCAATCAATGCTAAAATAGAAGGGATTTTATCAACAAGAAAGCCACGGGCATTTGTTTTTTGATCAGTCTCGGAAAGTTTAAACAAATCCGGAGATTGTCTGCTTCAATTAGTGTTCTCCATTAGTAGAGAGTTTATTTGGGTTATATCGCATACATATAAAAGTCGTTAAACCCGCCACCACCCGACACAGCCAATTCGATTTGTCACGTGAAAATAGCATGCCAATGAGTTACTAGTTCAGCACACTGGTGTGTTGGAGAGTAAGCCAATAATATTTACAATAGGAGTACAACATTTTGCCGGTAATTACAACCAGTCTCATCAGGTGGCCGTCAGAATTGTGGAAAAATTCTCCTGTTTTGGTCTTAGAGGAATAAATGTGAAGTCATCACGGTGAGCCAATCAGGTGCGAATCTCAGATTGGGTTAATATATGAATATAAATTACAATGTATCTCTATTACTAGTTTGGCTATTCACATTTAACCAAGTACGTTATGTATATACATTATTCATGTACATTACCGACTTTTAGGCCCAAAAATCGTATTAAAGATGGGCCTCTCTGCAGTTTTTGGGCCCAAAAATTGTCCCAAAATTTGTAAACTTTTGACAAAGGTAACGCAAAGGAGGTCCCATGATGTAATTATTTCTAATGTTGGATTGCAACCATTGCCACTCGATGTCGAGTGCCTCGTACGCCTATTGCCCGTGGCAGCGGTTTGAAAGGCCATACCTTGCTGATGAGAACCATCGAGTCCGTACGAGTCCACAGCTTTGTCTTGATTACTACCAACAACACTGGGATACGCTAATGGCTGAGCGCAGCCCAGCTCATAGTCTCTATCAATCACCGTGTGGTTAATGTGGCTGGAGTTGAACTGACTCGCCCCCCCTGTGTCTGACTCCTGCAGGTTCACCTGAAGGAGACAAACCGGTATGGACTCATGAACTCACACAGATTCACACACTGGGTGACTGTGTGTGGGACATGATGCTTGTGTAATGATGCTGTCTGTGAAGATAATGCTGTGTGAGGATGCTGTGTGATGATGCTGTGAGTGATGATGCTGCGTGTGATAATGTTTTGTGTTATGATGATGTATGGAGTGTATGTGATGATGCTGGTCGGGCGTGATGATGCTGTGTGCGATGATTCTATGTGTGATGATGATACTGTGTGATGATGCTTTGTAGGACACTGGCTGTGTGTGATGATGATGCTGCGTTTGATTATGCTTTGTAAGACACTGACTGTGTGTGGTGATGCTCCATGTGATGATGATATGTGCGATGATGCTCTGTGATGATGCTGTGTGATGATTGCTGTGCGTCATTATGCTGTGTAAGACACGGGTTGTGTGAGTCACTGCTGGTTGTGGTTTCATAGGAGAGACACTCAGAAGGAAGCTCCACACTCATCTCCCAGCAAAGAAGACATTGCCACGATAAGCGCACAGCAGGGAGCTCTGATCAAACTGCTGCCGTTCATGTGTGAGTAACACTGACTCTTGCCACGTGTGCATGTATGTTATTGCATATGTAATCGTGGCTGTGTGTATGTCGCGATGAAATGGAGTGTGTGGAAAGGGGTCGTCTAGCAGTTAGCTTGCTGCACTATAAATCCAGCCACTGGAGTTCGATTTCTGCTCACGGCCAACAACTGTGATGATTATCTGAACAGGTCCTGAACCCCCCTAGGTAGACTCAGCCGTAAATACATGGTCGGCTATATGCAGTGCGAAAGAGATTAAACATACAAACAAATTAGTATCTGGTGCAGTGTGTAGACATAGACACGAGAGATACAAAAGCGGTCGGGCGTGGTACTGGCCACCCACCCCCTCGTGTGCCATGCTGGTCTCCATAGGTGCTCACTAACAGCATTTGCCCCAACAGCCTGTTAAAGATAACCTCGCGTCCAATAAACCCTCAGAGCCAGGGTAAACATTCACCTCTAAACGTCATTTATTGATTTTAACGAGGTAAAGCTGGTGAGAAAACACAGAGACAGCATCTGTTATAACCCGAAAACACCAACACAATGAATGAATACCACAGCATCATAACATTGTCTTAAATGACATATTTCTAAACAATAGATCCTGGAGGGGGCAGGCACCTACATTACCACTGAATAGCTATACAAGAGCATAAGCTGCTTTGTAACATAAGGCACACCGTGTTAGCATCACACTGCACCCCAGATGTACAGTACTACAAATAAAACTGCACTATGAATGAGACATTTTGTCATCCTTGCTCTCCAGATCGCAATATAGTTACTTGGGTACAAGTTTGACTCTACTTATTAAATTACAAGTAACATTCACAATAAGAAAAGTTGCTGGCTTCGTTGTTAACTAGGCCTCGTATTTATCATAACAATTTAACAGCATTATAAAGGCATTTACATCATTATAACGGTCATTATAACATTATAACAGCATTGCCAAAATTATAAGAACATAAATGAACTTACAGACAATGTTTCTTAAGGTCCCACAATGGACAATTGCGGCTGGCTTCACTGGGACGCGATGTGTGCCACCATCTTGAATTACGTGTGTAATGGCCGACGCCCGCGTGGTTGAGTGGGAATCTTAAATCGCAACTTCCTGGTCACGTGACCAAAATAATCATCAATAACAGGAAATTCCTGTGTACATACGCCCCCCCCCCCCATCTGCCGTGAGGCAAAACTCCTGCCGTGAGGCAGAACAATCACTACACTATCACACACACGCACGAGTGTACATCACTACACTAACACACGCACACACGAGTGTACATCACTACACTATCTCACACACACGAGAGTACATCACTGCACTATTACACACACGAGTGTACATCAATACACTATCACACACACACACGAGTGTACATCACTATACTATCACACCCACCTCGTGTGCCGTGCTGCCTTCACAGGTGCTCACCAACACCACTTGCCCCTACAGCCTGTGAAAGGTGACACACAGGAGATGTTTGTGTTTGTTGTACACACACAGAGACGCTACGGCGGTGTTGATATCCACGTTGCTGCTGCTGCAATCCACTTCCTCCCGCGGGCACTACCACACAGTAGGACTGAATCATTAATCGATTTCAAATCGAAATCGCAATTTGAAACAATGCGATTAGCAAGTCGCAAAGGCTGCGATTTTCTTTTGCGATTTGAAAAGTCCTATTACTTTATTATTGGAATTGTTTTCTTTATTATGATAACTGTATTTACTTAACTTATCAATTGCTCTATGTTTGATCATTCTATTTCAATTTTTTTTTTTATAAATACATTTTGGAAGCAATTTATACATTTTAAGTTGCATTAGAATAGAAAGAGCAGTTCTTATTTTGATGGTATCACGTGGTAATGCTCCATCACATGTTTTAAATCTATTACGCAGTGACTATTGAACTGAACCGTGAATTAAAAAAGTGTAATCGCAAATCAAATCGCAATCTGTCAGAAAAATCGCACTTAGAGATTCTCCCCAAATTGTGCAGCCCCAGCGCACAGAGCACCCCACCTCCTGGCACCTCGCAAAGCCCCGCAGGGGCTGGGCCTGGGCAGGGCTCGCACGGGCGGCCACCACCACCCTGCCTAGCAGGTGCTACAGGCTGCGGGGCCACGTGGCAGGGCAGCCACCACCCTGCCTAGCAGGTGCTACAGGCTGCGGGGCCACGTGGCAGGGCAGCCACCACCCTGCCTAGCAGGTGCTAGAGGCTGCGGGGCCAAGTGGCGGGGCAGCCACCACCCTGCCTAGCAGGTGCTACAGGCTGCGGGGCTACGTGTACCGTACTTCTGTGCTCTCGCCAGCCGCGCCCCCTGCCTTCGCCAACGCGTGGTGACCGGCGTGGTGAAGTATGGTCAAATATCCCTCACGACCCACATGGTGTAGGGAGGCCCTCATCCAGCAGTGGATTCTTACTTTGTACGGTTCCACCTGAAGACGGAAGCTTGTGTTGCCTCCGAAACGTCGTGACTTTTGTTCTATTTTTACTTTACTTTTATAAATTTTAATTTTTTACCTACGTGACTTTACCGAAAAAACCTAAGAATATGATTCACAAAATGCCCGTTACATGTCATTACACCAATAGCTAAGCATTACAACGTTGTATAATAATGCTCATTATGAATTGCTCTCTTGTAATGTACGTGCGTGTTAATGCACGACTGCTGTTGTTATAGTTGTGCTGATGTTACACGGTTACTGTGATTATCGTTACTGCAGATGGACGCTCACCGACTCTGGACCCAAACTCGGCCCACAACAACCTCCAGATTTCCTCGGACCTCAGGACGGTGACGCGGACTGCTGTCTCCCAGGGTCGCCCCGATCACCCACACCGCTTTGATGTCTGTGCACAAGCCCTGTGCTCCGAGAGCTTCTCGTCTGGTCAGCACTACTGGGAGGTGGACGTGGGGAGTGCGGCGGGGGGCTATAAGGTTGGAGTCGCGTACGGGACGATCGCACGGAAAGGGCGTGGTAAAGAGTGCAGCCTGGGACAGAACCACTCATCCTGGGTTTTATATAAAGATGACAACAGCTGCTTCGTGCGTCATGGTGGTGTAGCGATCTCAGTGCCGGTGAGAGATCCTCCCCGGAGAGTCGGGTGTCACCTGCACTGGGAGGCGGGGCTGCTGTCGTTTTACCGCGCCGACTCCATGGAGCTGCTCCACTCCGTCCACCACTCGTTTCGTCAACCGCTCTACCCCGCACTGAGTGTGTGGGGTGTTGATGGTGGCTCAGTGAGGATTCTGCATCTGAGTCGTGCTTGCTGAGAGCACGGAGTGTGAGCAGCGCAGAGAAACGGGCACAACGCTCAGACTCACGCACACAAATACACAGATCCCCCGTGTAGCCTTAACAGGCTGTTGGGGCAAGTGCTGTTAGCGAGCACCTATGGGGCCGTCCATGAATGACGTCACGCACCTAGGGGGGGGGGGGGGTTAGAGAAATGTGACGTCACGTCAAAATGCGCAACTTAAATCAATATAGATGTAAAGTAGGAACTTGGCGGGACGACGACTTAACGGGTAGCACACTTTTATTAACACCAAACTTATTTACAAGTATGGCCAACTGTAGCCTAAGCTGCGCGGTTCCCCCGGCTACACACCCACGGGTTCTTCCGCCCCGTAGCTTCTCGGGAACCCACCCCGGCTGGGGTATGAGTCTCGACTCCTGGGTCCCACAGCCTCGCCCCACATGGACGTCAGACCCCGGGTCCCACAGTCTCGCCTCTGAGCCGCACAGGGCCCCGGCCCTTACAAGGACAGCGGGACTAGGGGTCTCAGGGCCCTATGTCTCCAACTCCGTCTTCGATCTTCACTGGTTAACAACTCCCCGAGTGCTCCCGCGCGTCCTCCTTTATAGTCCTCCGCTCCCAGGGAGACGGAGCCCATGCGGACGTCGCTGAGAGCACCCACCCCAGTTGACCAATCACCACGTGCTGTAGCCACGATCCTTTTTCCCATCTTGTGTCAGCGCACACAAGCACGCACCACGCGCTGCCACGTGATCCATCACTGTCAGCGCGCGTCACCACTATACCACGCGATGTAGCCACACCCGGCGCGCTCACACACGCGCCCCCCTTGTCAGCGCGTACCGCCACTACATAGACAACACGTTCTACTTAATTAAATAGACTTTTTAATGAATGTTTTCTCCTACAGCATCAGAGTGCAGCGCCACATTAAATACGCACTACAATTAAAATACCTTAAAGCGATTTGAAGCATGTCTTTTTTTTTGGGGGGGGGGGGGGGCAGAGCTTTGTGACGTCATATTTGAGGGGGGTCTGACTTTTTGTGACGCCGTGTGACGAAGGGGGCGGGGTCAAAAATCGCGTGACGTCATTTATGGACGGCCCCTATGAAGGCCGGCACAGCACACTAGGTGGTGGGTGGCCAACACCACGCCCGGCCGCCTTTGTCTCCCCAGTGGTGATGTTTACACACCGTACCAGGAACTATTTTTTCAGGCTGAGTCGACCTAGGGGAGGCCCATGACCGGTTCACCAACACCAGTGACGATTATCAGAATTGGTCCAGGCTCTCCCCTAGGTCGACTGAGCCTCAAATTAGTACCTGCTGCGATGTGCAAACATCGCCACTGGGGAGACAAAGGCGGGTCGAGCGTGGTGCTGGTCACCGACCCCCTTATGTGCCACAGTGCCGGACTTCATAGGTGCTACTAGCAAACAGCACTTTCCCCTACAGTCTGCTAAGGCTACATTGGGGATAATTTTCTTTGGGTTAGTGGGTTGGTCTGGATGCTTTTGTCTGTGTGTGTCTTTGTTACTGTCTGTGTCTTTGTTACTGTGTCTGTGTGTGTCTGTGTGTGTATTTTTGTTTTGGTGCTGACCACCCACCCCCTCGTGTGCGAGAGTACCAGCCTTCACAGGCTCTGCTACTTGCTACTAACAGCCCTTTCCCCAACAGTCTGTTAAGGCTACACAGACACGCAGAGATAAACACACACACTCACACACATACAAACACACAGATAGACACACGTACATACATACATACACACAAACAGATAGACACACGTACATACACACAAATACATACATACACACAGACACACTCTCACACACAGATACATACAAACACAGATACACACAGATACAAACACAGATACACACAGATATACAAAGACAAAGATCCCCCGTATAGCCTTAACAGACTGTATGGTCAAGTGCTGTTAGCTAGCACCAATAAAGGCCGGCACTTCACACGAGGATGTGGGTGGCCACCACCACGCCTGGCCGCCTTTGTCTCCCAAGTGGCGATGTTTACACATTGCACCAGGTACTTATTTGAGGCTGAGACGACCTAGGGGAGACCCATGACCGGTTTACCAACACAATTGATAAATATTATCTGAATCGGTCTTGGGTCTCCCCTAGGTCGAATCAGCTTCAAATGAGTACCTGGTGCGATGATACAAAGGCGGGTCTCTGCCAGGCTGGCCTTCATAGGTGCTATTCACTAGCAGCACTTGCCCCAATAGTCTGTTAACGCTACACGCGGGATCTTTGTCTTTAGTGTATAGAGAGTCATGTGTGCAGTATTGGGTGGAGCGGTGGTGCAGTGGTTAACACACTGGCGGGGGAGAGCGGGGGGAGCCACGGTTCTCTCTGACGCCATCGTCCCTCGCACCGCATCGCACGCCGCGTGGCGCTCAATGCCGAGAGGGCGGAACTCCACCACGGGCGTGCTGGAAACATGCGTCACGTGACGCTACGGGGTGACGCGCGCTGTCCCCTCGCGGTCACTCACTCGTTGTGCGATAAACCGGGGTGGGAATTGGATGACATCAATAGGGTGGAACTACTCGTGGTGTAAATTTCGATTCAATGCTTTCGTAACTGCAGGGATTCATCTTCTTGGTTCTTTCGGAAAAGTCACGTAGAAGGGAAATAATAAAATAATAAAAATAAAACATAATAAAATAATTCTCACGACGTTTCGGCCACAACGCAAGCAGCCGTCCTCAGGTGGAGAGCAGGTCTGTCGGGAAGACAGCGTCTGAATGAAACACCACCAGGCTTGGAGCATATATTTAAGCTGGGTTGGAGGGGGAAGAGCACCTTGACAAAATAATGTGCATATCAAGAGGAATTTAGCATATTTATGGGAAATGCAGATATGGGATTAGTCACTACTTGTGAAATGCGTAGGAGGTGGGCGGGGGGTTTCAAAGTCATATTATGTCCGTGCATTATTCAGGATTAGCAGCATCAAATGGAGGGAGTAGGGTTAGCAGTAATAAAGGGCATAGACAGAGAATCCACACCTAGTAGTAGGAGGAGGTTTTTCACCACCATTATTATTCATAATAAAGGTTTGCTTTGATTAATATTTTAATTGATTTGACTTTGAAGTTGGTTAAATAATTAAGCGCCTAATATATTTCGAGAGTGAATACCTTCCATTACAACACGACTAACATGCATTAATAACACACAGATACTGTGTGTTATTACAGGGAGAGTGACACCACATACTCCAAATATTCAGCAGCTGTCAGGGTTGGAATCCAACCCACGACCTCATGCATACCAGGCGAAGGAGTTAACGTCTCCTAGCCACCACGGCGCCCCTGTGTGAACGCTAATCGCATTGTGCTCTGGGCTGTGTGTGAGATTACTATTTTCTTCATTGCTGGCATGGGTTTGACTTGTTTTGCTACTTTTTTCATTTTTGTGACCCAGGTAACTCTTGTCAATGGGACTTATCCTAATCTCCTGAGTGCTCACCTCGTTGAACTCAAATTAAACTCGAATCGATCATCATCAGCAGCATCATCAGAAATATCATCAGCAGCAGAATTCGTAACAACAGCAGGAGCAACGGCATTAGCAGTGGTAGCTCCATCGTTAGCATCATGATCAGTATCAGAAGTAGGACCAAAATCAATGATAATACAATCATTATCAGCAGCAACAGAATAATCAATAGCATAAGCCGCAGCATCATCGATAGCATCATCAATATTATCAGGAGTAGGACCAGCAGCATTAATAATAATATAATCATTAGTAGTAGTAACATAATCATCAGTAGCAGCAGAAGCAGCAGCGTCATCATTCTTGCAACCGACACTCATCCTGGTATCTTGAGTTCTCACCTGGTTAAACAAATCGACTTCAACGTGTAGGCTTTCGCGATCAATATTATCAATGATAAAGGTTTATTGGGTTAGATCGCGTAAATATACGTAGACTTGATTGTGTTCTGGGTTAACTGTGAATGGGAATCATTTTGTCTTGCGGGTCAAGGGTCAATGTGTTCTGGGTGAATAAAAAAATGAAATCTGAAAAAAAAAATCAAGATTGTCATCCAGGCTGTGAATGTGAATCTCTCATAGCTGAGGCTGACTGATTTGTGTAAACATGTATTTTTTGGATGGTTACTGTTGTTTTGTTTGTATAGATGTTATATTATCGGAGATTAAACCCGGGCACGGTTTTTAAATCTACAGCTTACGCCTTCACAGGTAAGTGCTGTCTGTAGCCTTGGGCCACATTCCATAGCGTGGCATTTATAGCTGCACTCTCAGTCAGTTTGCTTATTCCTCATCATCATGAGCTATGATGATGAATGGATCCTGACTGATGGATGATGATGAAGAGCACGATGATGATGATCATGACTACGCTTGGTAATAATGACCACCACCCATTCACCTGCACCCAACACTCTCCTACCTGACACCTGCCACTCCCTAACCTACTACCCCCCCCCAGCCATCTAAAGGGCCTCTCCCTCCCACTTGCCCACATACACCTGCCCATCCTGCCACACTCTCACCTGCCCACCGCATATTCAACAACCCATTCCCGGCTGATCTCCCTCCCACCTGATCACCTGCAAACCCGCTCACTCACCCACCCGCACAAAGACAAAGATCCCCCGTATAGCCTGAACAGACTGTTGGGCAAGTGCTATTAGCGAGCATCTTTGAAGGCCGGCACAGCACACGAATGGGTGGGTGGCCAGCACCAATCCCTGCCGCCTTTGTCTCCCGAGTGGTGATATGTATACTCCACACCAGGTACTCATTTGAGGCTGAATCGACCTATGGGAGGCCCATGACCGGTTCAGACAATGGTTATTGGTGTTGGTGGCCATGAGTGGGAATTGAACTTGGATCGGCACGTTCATAGCACAGCGCACTAACCACTACAACACCAATCTCCACCTACACACACACACCTGCTCAACCACCCACATGATCCCTCACTCATTTACGGGTGAAATTAGATCATTTGTCAAAAAATTAACAATATGAAGTTGACTTTTTAAAGACAATTTTTAACTATTATGATAAAATAAATCCAGAACAAATAAATGGCAATGCTAGAGACGACATACTTAAAAAAAACCTTTAATAACAATGTTTTACAAGGTACGGTTTGGTGCAAAAACACAAAGAGCCTCACCATAGCCGACGACATCAGTCCAAGGGACAAACCATTACCGTTTGCCTGGACACTCTGGGTTTTGTATAAATCGCAACTCGTAAACCCCAACACCGCGGTGTGAATGCAACGCTCCTGTCTACGCAGGTGAGAGTCGATTCGTGTCTTGGTTCATCGCTTCCGTGTGCGCTCCTGGGACAGCGTCTCTCAGCCACAGCGAGCTGCTTTTGATCAGAAGCCACTGAGAGTCGTGGCGAGCGCAGCTCCCACTGAGAGCGTAGCGAGTGGACCCGGCTCCCGTCTGGAAGTGGTCAAAGCCTACCGTGTAACGTGTCTCACGTTGCGTCTCGACAGACAGCTGCGTGCGATACGAAGCTCGTGTCTGTCACCTTGACCACCTGAGCACATTTCCACGGAGTGTCTCGTGAGGTTTGTAACCTCGTGCTAAGTAATGTTGGCTTCCTTGTTCATCTCCGATGTTGTCAGTCCCCAGGATGTTGATGGTTAAAATATTTTACCTGGAAAGTCGCTCGATTAAACTTCTCATTTGCAAATGTGTCCAAGGTGTTAAGTGACACATGCGTAAAAACTTCAATAAAAGATTTACTATGGACTATATTTTGTTATATTTTACCAGGTAAGGCACACTGAGCAATGTAGCTCTTTTTCAGAAACGATCTGGCCGTCACAGATGATAGCTCAACGACGTGGCTTATCACGTGGAAATGTATAGCAGTAGCTTAATACTCAAAACGCGTGATGTTGATTAT